GAAAATAATTAGGCAAGATACTATTACTCTCACAAGCTTAACTGGCTTTAGATGTTAGAAAAATGTGCAAAATACAAGAAAACTGACCGAGCAAGAACACAAATATGTTAATGTCACTGATCTCTGGCTCCATCTTTTTTTCCAACCATTGTTGCTCTGGTTTTATCAGAAGCTTGGTGATGTAGTTTGTGTTTGTGCACACAGAATTGTGCAGGGTTATAGTTCAGCTAGGTATGATAATTTATGCTACTTTTAGCCTACTGGAACAGATAAGATTTCATAAGTGACCAGCAAGGACTAAATAATCCCAAAGCTTCCAGCTGCCAGTCAGAAGGTGGCATGATGGTGACAGTTATTTAAACTTGACCATGCTTCATTTGCAAAGAGTTCAAGTCCACTTTAAGAATAAATTAAGTCTAAGGTAAGCATGTATAGCCTTCAAGAACTTCCATTTTCTCCTGTGTAAGAATATTTTATTCACTAATATGCACTAATCCACACTTTTTGGAATCTGAAGACACTTTTGAAATTATTGAGAGTAAACAGCCAAATGGTTGCCATGGTAGACAAGCTGCAAATCATCCTTTTACCACAGTTTTTACCCCTGTAAAATTGTTGTTATCCCTTCCACCTTTTATGTTCTGAGGGGAAGATTTGCAAAACAACACCGACCAAGAAGTTGTTTTTATAACTGTGTGGTTATGTCCTAACAACCTTCTTAGAAATAAAGATTATTTTGGAGATATACTTTGCAATGCTCATTTTATCATTTAATTTCTTTTAAAAAAATAAAAACAGGACAAAGATGACTATATTATAAAGTGCACTTTCCACCCTTGTGCACTATTTTGAGAGTGCTGAACACTCTCAATGTCTTTGGGAACTAATTTATCACACAGTGGTTTTCTGTGGAGAAAAATGAAACAGTCATCAACCACCTTTTCCATTACGTCAAAGGAAACTGAGCTATTTGTGAGTTCTTAGAATTTAACACTTCTTAATAACATGCACTCAAACTATAAAAGTTATACCAATGTGCTGTGTATCATGCTTGGGCGCACTTGGCATTAAGAAGGATCAAGATAACATTATTGCTTCGATATTATTTGCACCTGTATACTGCATGACAACAGTTGCCTGAAAGACTGCAGCAAAAAATCCAAACCAATAGAAAAATAGTTTGCAGGCAACTCATGACATTTGTATTCCGAGAAACTTCCACTAAAGAAAAAGTCTTTCTCTGGAGCACCCATATGAATTGTGCTCTAGTTAGAATTGGGTGTTGTCATCAGTTTCCAGAGCTCCTACACTGAAAGAAAAATTCCCTACATTGAAAGAAAAAAAATCACCTATCTGAAGACCTGGTTATTGTATAATGAAAGGTGAGTACAAACCATTTTGAGTTAAACAAAAATATGAGATACTGTACTCTAGCTAGAATGCTTTTAAAATGTGGGAAGTTTAAGAACAACTGCATGAGCCATCAACTGGTATAATTATAGCTTATTATTGTGTAGCAAAATGTAAAAGATGATTGCTAGGAATAGTGCAATGGAAGCCAGAGAGGTAGGATAAAGAAGAAGAGCATGGAACTCCATACTTTTTTCAGGAAAGAGCCATTAACTTTTAACAAATTGCAATAGGAAAAGGTGCTTTTAGAACTTTTTCTTATTCATAGGATTATGCTAGTAGCAGATATTTTAAAGAAATATTTTTTTTTTACTAACATGAACATTTCAGTATCAGTTATTAAGTTCATGCCTTCCAGATTACAGGACGAGAGGCTTTTTTAAAGGCAAATTCTTAGAAAAAAAGGCTTTGAGATGGAAGCCATCTTAATTATGCTGCACTGTTATTGGACAACTTTTTGATTAGTGATGTAAGACAGATACTGTATTCCTGAGCAATATTCATCCATCCATGCTCTCCCTTCCCCTGCCTTCAGAGGGAGTTGCTTCTTGTTTGTGGTATGCTTTAATACTTTCTCTTTCAACACTAATAAAACATCCACCTTAGAAGAAACTAGCAGTTAATTAATTGTAACAACATTTGGTTTCTTTTGTATTTTCCTAACAGTCTTCAAGGACAATAATGTGACTTTTTATGTTTCTTTTCTGCCTTTTGTTGATAGGCCTCTCTGAGTGGTATACTAGAAGATTGCTGTTAGCAACAAATTGTGATGGGAAGCTTGCCCAGTAAGAGGAAACAGATTGCTAACCAGACAAGCCCACAACTGAACACATGGCACAGCCAGAGCTATAGCGTAAACCTGCCAGGTAGGGGTTATGCTGTGCTACCATCGTCTGAGTCTTAAAACAACACATACATACATACATACATACATACATACATACATACATACATACATACAGATTTTGCCTATGCCTGGGCCAGACTAAATTCATAGTCTCTCAATTTCTAGTCTAGTGACTTAAGCACCACACCAAAGTAGCTCTCTATAACAGCAAAAGAGGGATTTAATCGTTTATCTCCTTAGTCTATGCTTCACGATATTGATTTTGGGGGAAAGAGAAAGAAAACATCTCCAAGCAGAAAAATAGGGGAAAACATTTATAGGCTTCTGGACATCTCATTTTTGTATGCAATGATTTATTTTCATGCATAACAAAACAAGTCATGTGATTTATTACCCGAAAGGTTACAGTCACATGATATACATTATTGTTTGTGAAATTTATGTCGTGTACTGTGATCTGGTTCTGTGTGCCAGTGGAAATGGAAGTCTTTAGCACTTCCATGTTAGTTATCTAGCAGCTTTTATTAATTTTGGTTGAGAAATTCTAAATCCTTGATTGAACATGAAGCTCATTAACATAGCAGCTATAACTATTTAGTCTGCCTCACAATGCGGCAGTGAGGAACAATGTGGGACAGATGGTTCCACTGCCAGATGGATTTTCAGTTGGCCAATTTGAAGTCCTTGATGGGTCTATATCCACATGGAGGAAGTTATCTCAGGGTTCTATCCTGGCCCTAGGAAAAACTAGATGCACAGGTATGAGACAGATGATACCAGCCTTAGAAGTAGTAACTGTGAGAAAAATCTGGTAGATCACAGACTAAACATGAACCCCTAAAAGAAACTGCAGGTTTTGGCTTCATCACAGAGGTATAGTGTCAAGTTCACAGAAAGTAATAGTACTGATCTATGCTGTATTGGCCAGACTAGAATATTGTGTGCATTTCTAGTTGCCACAATACTGTATAAAAAGGATGCTAAGGAACTAGAAATAGCTCAGAGAAAAGGAACAATGATGGTAAAGAGTTTGAAAATTAAAACCTACAACAGCAGTTAAAGGAATTTGGTATTATTAAAGGTATTATTAGACTAAAGAAGAGGCTAAGGGGAGATATAACAGCTGACTTCCAATATATGAAGAAATGTCTTAGGGTAGAGGCTATAGATTTCCATAGCACCCAAAGATAAAAGGAGAATCAATGGGGCGGTACCTTAACACTAATAAATAACAGATTTGAAATAAGGAAGTACAGTATTTGCTGATTGTGAGAGCTATTGAGCAGCAGAAAAACCTGCCTTCTGAACTTGTGGATGCTCCATCACTGGGAAAAAATTTGTAAAATTTTTTGACAACCCTTTGTCTAAGATAGTATGATGATCCTGCATCGGGCAAAGATTGGACTAGATTCTACAAAGATCAATTGGTTCTCTGATTATTTTTTTTACCTTCCTTGGAATAAGGAATGTTGCAAGGGTGAAAATAATCCTGTTCCTAATACCCAGTAAATAATGACCTGAGATCAAGAGATGGTGTTTTGATAGCTTCCCCTGAATTTGTGAGGGTTGAATGAGAATTGAATAAAAGACCTTGTTGCACTTTCAGTTTACAGATAGTTTTCTTCACATCTCTAGAATTCCATCAACCCCTCCTGACCTGGGAAATGTGTGAGAAAGGCAGATTAGAATTCTCCTTAGTTCATTGCTCTTTCTTTACTACCTTACATTTAATCTTCCCCTCATTTTTTAATTTATTGACTGATCTCTAACAGTTTCTATTTGTACTTTAGAAGAGAGACTCAGTTTGGTTTAGTAGAAAAAAATCCTGAAGTAGGTCGCACGTAAAGAAGCCAGCTGGGTGACTATGAGTCATTTTCTGTGACTCTAGATTGGACAATCGGAAAACATCCTGGAAGAATGTAGTTACACTAGCTATGAAAACTGGATGGATCTGTCCATATAGTTACCAGAAGACTGACTTGAAGAACCATAATCATAAAATTTTAAAATAATGTTTTATTCAGTAGCGTTGGTAGTGACCACTTTTAAAAACAAAAGAGCCAGTTTTAGTATCATTCTTAGAGAATTAAATAATAAAATAAGTAGCAAAAATATTAATTACTGTAGTTATAGCTATTAGGATGAGTATTCATCATCAGTTGTGGTAAAATCGATGCAAAAAACAGGTGATTAGTTTTAAAATGTTTTAATTAGCAAGTAAACAGCTGAAACTGAAAGGTTGAAGTAGACAAGGTGAAGTGCCCTAGCAAGGGAATTCCACTGGTGGTGCCCGGGTATAGAGAGTACTGTCTGGCATTCTCAGTTGAGTGCTTCAGCCTGGGGGGAGGGCAGTAAGGGAAAAATCTTTCTTAGTATGAGTACATTTGTATAAAAAAGGTGGCTGTATAGAATCCTGGATTTGAATTATGTAGTGCTATGATGAAATGTTTTGTCTTGACCACAAATGAATGGAAAACAATTTGTTGTTGTAATAAAGTTGTTCAATATTGTTGGGAACTAGCTTCTATCAACACATCATTCACATTTCTACATTCTCATCTAGAGGAAGCTGTGAGATAATCTTCAAATGAGACATACAGTATGTAAAGCACTTTGCAAGAATACTTCAAATATTGAGAGGTTAAAATCACACATTGACCTGGTCAGTGTTTATTTTTTCTTTTAATCTGCAGTTGCCAATTCGCCCATAGTTGTTGCAGTCAGTGATTTTCCTTCTAGAGACACAGAGCCAGTACTAAGGATGGGGGAACAGCTGAGTTTGGTATCTGAGTGAGTATTAACAGACAAGATAATGGACAAAACACATGAGGTATTTGCATCAAGCAGTGCAGTTAACATGATGGTAGTCATCAAGAGGGATATGTCCTGGAGAGACTAGGGAGATCCCCATTGCAGGATAATTCCATATCTTCAAAACATCCATGGTGAGACCTTATTTTGTTTTTCATATCTACTTTGTATTAGCTGTCCAAATTAGTTTATTAGTTGCCGATTTTCCATTTTTTCTCTTTACATTTTATAGTATTGTATTTATGTTTAATGTTATTGATATTTAAAATTAGAAATGGCACAGTATAAGATAAAAACATTCCAGCCTCAACTTTTTGTTTTTACACATTAATATATAACTAGCCACTTCTATAGTGACAAATCTATCTAATCGACAAAACCAAAGTCAAAGTTTCATTTTGTTTCATTATTTGAGATGTCCTCTGAGCAGTTAGAAGGGCTAATTCAGCCTTTCTCAACCTGTTCTTCATTTGCATTAATATGATAATTCCCAAAATTTCCAGTTGCCCATGTGGCTGGTCAGTCTGGGGACTGTAGACCCAACACATCAAGATTAAATTAACCCTCCATCCTTCATGCTTAAAGTCTGGATACTTTGGGTGTTAGTGTAGTCCCAAGAAAAGGATAATTGCAGAGCATTTTTCTGAGGACAAAGCCTGCTCCTTGACTAGAATTTTAGGAAAAAAAAGGGAATTTCTTCAAGAAGTACAGCAGAATTTTACTTGAGGTCATGGCTTTAAGTTACATTTCTTCTCCTACAGAGAGGGTGAATGGTGTCAAGTCAAGTCAGTAGCAACTGGCCAAGAATGCTGTGTACCTAGCAACAGCATAGTTAAAATTTCACACAGGTAAGCATTGTGGTTTTTCTCTATCAGAAGTAACATCACAGAACATTAGTGGGGGGATGTTTCTCTGTATTCCAAGAGATCCTCAATCCTATAAGGAAAGTAGTTTCCCCCTTAACTTTTCACACAATCTTTTTCATAGGCAACTGACCCCTGCAGTGTTCTTGTCTTCAGGTGGCTCTATGATGGCATTGATCGAGCCAAAGCTGAGGAGTTGTTACTGTTGCCTGCAAACCAGGAAGGTTCTTTCATCATAAGAACGAGAGAAGCGAAGAAAGGTATGGATTCTACATAATATCCAAAGGAATCTCCCAGTTCTGTGTGAGGAAATATAAGGTACACCAAGTCTGTGAGCTTGGCATAGCCTACCAAGGATTAAATGTGATAACATATAATTAAGCTTTGAAATTAATAGTTTTCTTCCTCAACTAAGACATAATGCAAGTTTTAAAGATAGTAGCACAACTCTAAACATCAGAGAAAAGATCTCATTGCTTTAAAGAGAATTTAATGAAACATATACATTTCATGAATCTGAGCAGTAGGATTGAGTGGACTTGTTTCCTGTCTAAATATGTTACAGATTATTTTATTCTGATAAACAGGTTGCTACTCTTTATCAATCAGATGCACAAATCATGAATCCTGGAATTGTGTAAAACACTACCGCATTAACTGTTTGGAGAACAGCTGGCTTTATATCTCCCCCAGCCTTACCTTCCCAAGCTTGCACGAACTGGTAGACTATTATTCTGGTAATTATTTTTTTAAATTAATTAAAGGAAATTATACATTCTTTTTAGTTTCTGATCGTGTCAATCTTTCTCTCTCTCTGTATATGTGTGTGTTAAAAAAAGAGACAGAATTGCTTTACAGCATGTTGGCCACTAGGCAAAAACTTCACCCCTTTGGAAATGGCCAAAGATCTGTATTACAAAGATCACACATTCCTGTTGGTGACCAACATTTGGGAAAACCTGTTATGTCCTGTTACAATACCAACTTTTCAGAAACCTACTGTCAGAGGGAATTTTGAAGTTCATGGAGGAAGGTTGTTTTTCAGCTCTTCCTATGTGATCTCTTATTAATTTGACCTTTGCTTGTCAATAGGTTATTCAATTCTACCATTTGTTGTCTGTTATGTGTGCCCAGCCTGAGCCTCAGAATGTGTTAAGGGCCGTTTCTTGGCTATATTGTTAATTGGTTAACTCACTTGGCTGCTGTATTTTTTGGATGTTTTTAAGTGTTTTAATGGTTTTAGAATTTTAAGCCATCCAGAGTCACTTGTCTGAGATAGTTATAGAAATTTAATAAATAAATAAGATTTGTAAGAGTGTAGTGAAAAGTCTTGGTCTGGATTCTGTTCTGTGATCATGCTGTAAGAATTTTTTTTAAAGTTGGGTATTTTCATCAAGAAAATAAAGTGCATTTTTACCCAAAAGTTGAAGAAACAACATAGTGACTGTTGCACTTGGATTTTTTTCACTATAACAATAATAAAGTTGGAAGGGACCTTGAGATCTTCTAGTCCAAGGAAACCCTATACCATTTCAGACAAATGTTTGTCCAGTCTCTTCTTAAAAACTTCCAGTGTTGGAGCATTCACAGCTTTTGGAGGCAGGTTGTTCCACTGAGTAATTGTTCTGTCAGGAAATTTCTCCTTAGTTCTAGGTTGCTTCTCTTTGGTTAGTTTCCATCCATTACTTCTTGTCTTGCCTTCGGGTGCTTTGGAGAATAGCTTGACTCCGTCTTCTTTGTGGCAACCCGAGATATTGGAACACTGCTATCATGTCACCCCTCATCCTTCTCTTCATTAAACTAGACATACCCAATTCGAGTAACTGTTCTTAAATGTTTTAACCTCCAGTCCCCTAATCATCTTTGTTGCTCTTCTCTGTACTCTTTCTAGAGGCTCAACATCTTTTTTACATCATGGTGACCAAAACTGGATGCAGTATTCCAGGTGTGGCCTTACCAAGGCATTGTAAAGTGGTATTTTCACGTGATCATGATTCTATCCGTTAATGCAGCCTAGCACTGTGTTGGCTTTGACAGCTGCAGCACACTGCTGGCTCATATTGATTGTCCACTAGGATTCTCAGATCCCTCTCACACTATTATTGAACAAGGTACCACCTATACTATACCTGTGCATTTGGTTTTTCTTGCCTAAATGTAGAACCTTACTTTTTTCACCATTGAATTTCATTTTGTTAGATAGTGCTCAATATTCAAGTCTGTCAAGATCCTCCTGTATGTTAAGCCTATCTTCTGGAGTGTTGGCTACTCCTGCCAGCTTGGTGTCGTCTGCAAATTTGATGAGTTCCCCATCTATCCCCTCATCCAAATTATTGATGATGTTGAAGAGCACTGGGGCCAGAACAGAGCCCTGGGGCACCCCACTACACACGTCCCTCCATGTAGGTGCAGTTCCATTGAGAACCACACGTGGAGTATGGCCGGTCAGCCAGCTACGAATCCATCTGGTCTAACCCACATTTTTCTATCTTATCAAATGCCTTACTTAAGTCCAAATTATATCCACAGCATTCCTCTGATCCACTAATTTTGTCACCTGGTCAAAGAATGCAATAAGATTTGTCTGGCATGATCTGTTTTTGACAAACCCATGTTGGCTTTTGGTTATGACTTTGTTTGCCTCTAGGTTGCTTGATTATCTTTTCCAGAATCTTCCCAGGTATTGATAGGTCTGTAGTTTCCTGGATCCATTTCCCCCCCTTTTTTGAAGATACAATACAGTAGGCTGTCAGAAAATCTTATATATGAAAACCTATCATGTTTATTTTCTTTAATAGAAACTAGTGATGGCTTATGTTGCTGCTTGAAGAAACCGTGCTTCATCCAAGGAACTAGTTCTAGCTTGTTTCATCATCTTTCCAAACCTGTGGCAGTAAAAAAATCTGTTCTCAACTGGCAACAGATCAAGAGGTTATTTTATTTTTTATATTCAACTTATACTCAACCTTTATCAACAACTCAAATAATATGGCTGGCTGGATTGTTCAAATTATGCTAAAAAACAATGTTTTGCAAAACCACGTTTGCACAATTTAGGGATATGAGCAACCAAATAATTTCCTGAATGCTGAATAGCAACCTTAGTAATATGTATCTCATTATTTTATACATGAGACAAAACAATTCCTCAGTCCCCCTAAAGCCCATGGAAGTAAACAATCAATAGTTTTATAAAAAATTGACAGGTATTATACAGGTAAAGAAACTGAAACTCAAAACTGCTTGTTCTGGACCAGTTACAGCTTCCAATAGTCTTCAAAGGCAATCTCATGTTGTATGCATTGCAATAATCCATACAAGTACTAAGGCATGAGTGATTACAGGTAGTCCTTGGGAAACAATAGGCCATTTAGAAAAGTGACACCAACCCCCAAGTTATATACGCCTGTTTCAAAGTTATGACAGCTGCAGTGCCATTAAAGTCATTCACCCTTATGACAAACCATGGGAATGCTATAGTGCCTCCCCTTTGCCCCCCATCCCGCCCCAGCGGGACCCGAAATGCTCAGGACTGCTTTCCATGCAGCCTGGAAGCAGCAGCCATTTTCAAGTCTCTTGCTGAAATGATAGCTGCTTTCAGAGCTTTCTGCGCCAATCAGCTATCTCCTTATTGGATAGCCATCAAGAGTCTGTAAAGCTCTTCTATCTCTCTAGGTTTTGGGAAGACAATTCTTGCATAAAAGGGAGCTTCAGGACAAGCTTTCCAAGTTTTCTTTTGCTTAACTCCTCCCTCCCTTGCCCCTCCCCCCAAAAGCCACATTGCTTCAATAAAAAAACAAAAAAACCTGAGGGACAGATTTGTTGATAAACCCCTCATCCCCGTTAAGTTTATAGAAATGTTGATAGGGGTCAGACAAATTGTGGAATTTGGATTCACACTGGAACTTCCCTTCCCAAGATGACCAGGACAGGGTTAAAGAGGTGCTTTCAAAAAGAAAAATGTTTTTTCCTCTATAGCGGTGTTTCTCAACCTTGACAATTTTAAGGCATGTGGACTTCAACTCCCAGAATTCCACAGCCAGCATTGCTGGCTGTGGAATTCTGGGAGTTGAAGTCCACATGCCTTAAAATTGTCAGGGTTGAGAAACACTGGTCTATAGTGAGCTGGAGCTGTAGTTTGATGGTCCTGCAGCAGTAAATATACGGAACACAATTGGCCTTATATACTATTCTGAAGAAATTGTATTCAGCAGGATGTGAGATTTTTGAAGATGGGATCAAGTTACTTCACCATGGCTGGATTCTCATCACTTTCTCAGATGAAAAATTTATATCTCAAGCAGAGATTTTTTTAAAAAAAAAATGTATGACTTGTCAGTTTTAACATTTCACATTGCCAACAAAAGCAAATATGGATAGAATATCCCCAACAATCTCCAAACTATTTCAAACACCTTGATTCTGGAAAGACAGTCTGACAAATTTTATGATACCAAATCATTGTTATTGATAAAATATATAAAGCTATCTTTTTAGCTTTTAAGAGCCGTGGTGGCATAGTGGTTGGAATGCAGTACTGCAGGCTAACTCACTGCTAACTCCAGGAGTTCGATTCTCACCGGCTCAAGGTTGACTCAGCCGTCCATCTTTCTGAGGTCAATAAAATGAGGACTCAGATTGTTGGGGACCATATGCTGACTCTGTAAACCACTTAGAGAGGGCTGTAAAGCACTATGAAGCAGTATATAAATGTAAGTGCTATAGCTATCTTGCTTTCTAATATACTGAATCTTTCATTTAGACCTTAACTCAGCAGATGCAAGGACATTATTTTATGTTTTAGCACTCCTTCGATTATTGCCCTGGCACTGGCAAATTGAGAGACTATGATTGACTCAATCTCTCAAGGAGCTTTTGCAGCTGAAGGTGGCTTGAAGTCAAATCTCCTGGGTTCTAATTCTACAATTTACCAGTACTCCACACTGGTTCTATATCGTTTTAAAAATAATCCATGAGACAAATTGTTTCTTTGCAACTCCAGAATCCTCAGCTGTAACAAGCATAAACCACTGCAGCAAGGAATATTGCCTCTGTCACTACAAGGAAGAATCCATGCCATTAGCAAAATCCAGTACATTAGCCATGTACTGAAGCAGAATATGCTGATAGTATTTGCGTGTTCTTATTACAAGCATCATACATTATTTGAAACAAAATAAAAACAAAGCCATTATTATTTTAGCAATGTTGTTCAGAAATGTTTTCTTCCATCTAGCTCAGACTTGTTGTCAGAAGAACCACTAACAGAAGACTCACCTATCAGTCTTGGCTTGCGAGAAGCAGTTACTACTTACCTGTTTATGACTGATGACGTGTCATTACAGGGCTCATCAAACAGAAAAGGAAAGCAAACCAAAGCTGTATAAAGCTAATATTGGAAGTATTTCTGGAATATTAAACTTGAACACAAGATCTGTATTTTTATCAGGTTGATTCAAGGTGGTTATCCTTAAATCAGTGTTATCATAGTTAACTTTTCATCTTTTTCAAGAAGCTTGGCTCATTCAAATATTGTGTGTGTGTGTGTAGTATATTTATATGTATTTTCCCTACAGGTTTTGCACTTGGTAATTCATAACTGATTAGTAATGCAAAAGCTGAATAAACCAAATAATTGTTTCACCAGGCTGCAATGGATATTAATGTCAACAGTTCAAGAAACAAAGGAAAGCAAGGAAAAATGCTTTCTCTGATCTGAGAGAAAGAATAGTAGGAATGGAGCTACCAAAAGTAGAATGGAAATGCAAGTGTTCTATATACAGTATCCACAAATGGCATATAAAAGGCACATACAAACCTATGGCAGTTTCTGGCCACATGCATAAACTGCATAGTTTGCTTAATGAAGCCACAATACATTGATTTTATGTTAAAACTAAACAAGCCAAACATGTTCACCACCTTGAGTTATTTCTAAAAATAATAAAGGAGGAATACAAGTAAAATTTAAAAAATAAATTATAATGGAGTCATTGATGATGTCTGAGCTTGGTTGTTTGCTTGCAAATGTTTCATTACCTGATTAGCACTGACCTTAAGTTGGGTAATGAAATGTCTACAAGCAAACAACAGAGAGCACCAAGAAATATATAAGTTACATATATTCTTTTATATTGTAAGTCATTATAGCTTGAACAATCAGGAAATCAGTCCAAAGCCCACAATAGTTACTCTTAGTATTGAACTTGTCTAGCTCCTAGTTTCCTACACAGATTTCACGAATATACAACCTCTGATCTTCCAGATGTTAAATGATAAACTTTTCAGTATCCCTAAGCACTGGCCATGCTAATTAGAATTTTTATCAGTTACAATTTGTAAAACTTTGAAAGTTACATATGTCTAGCCCCTGCCCTATAGTTTTAGGATTACCTTCAACATTAAAGGGATAAAGCTAGAAATATGTTATTGAAGTCTTAACAAAATGCACTTGTTTACAGTTAAAAGATAAGAGAAATATTTTTTTCAGGGATATCTTGTTATTTAGAAAACTCCCCATAATGTTATTGTGAGACAATTGTATGTCATTTAACAATCACAAACTTTATTCCAATTTATTACAGCAAAATAATTTTTATCTGCTGTACAGTTGCTGTACTTACAACCTATACGAGCTAAATAATTGGAGACAAATTATTCCCTGAAATTAGTCTTGGAATAAAGTCTCTGTCAGAATGCAAAATAGTGGACTGTTTTTAAATGAGATAAGCTGGTCAGAAAACTGTTACTTCTATGACAAACACTAGATAACTGAAATCTACATAATTCTGCAGCATATAAACATTACGGATTTTATTCATAATTACCAATTTGTACACTAAACAGGTCTTCAACTCACAAATGTGCTTTAATTTAAACTTTGGTGGTGTCAAAAACAACTCCAATATCAAGGTAGGAAAAGTCCAACATTCAGAACACCCAATGCAAAAATATCCTATTCTGTCCACCTCAAAGTAATTTCTTGTCCCAGATGTTATCTAACAAAAAAGAAGTAGTGATGGAAATATGATCTCCAGGCAAATGATATTCTTAAACATATAAAATAGTTACAATACACCAATGTTCAAAAAGCTACTATATAACGTAGCTTCGATGTAAGCAGCATTTCTTCACTTTGATCTCACAAATAATGCTAGTAAGGAAACTAAAAATAAAAGTACAAAAAGGGGTTTCAAAAACATTGTTTAACATAATGTCCCATTGCCTTTGGGAACAGTACCTCATGCATAGACCTTGACTCTTTGTTATACACAAATATAAAATTAACTGATTCCCAAAACCACACTTTACAAGTATCTACAATGAAACATTTATAATATTGAAAAGATTATGTTTCAAACTATAACCGGAATGGCAATTATTAACAGTAGGGAAGAAAACAATACCATGACCATCATTGGCCATGGCTAGATCTGAATCTACAGCACGCCCTTCCTTGTGTAGACACTTTTATACCCTGCACTCAGGATATGTCATCAGTACTAGGTCATGGGAGGCACAGCATGGCCAGATTTAGAAATTCAAGAATGCACAGAAGCTCAACATAAATGGGTGTCCCAGTACCATGAGAATCATGCTACAATGACATGATAAATATGGGAAATGATAATTTACTAAGAAAAGAAGTGCAACCAAATTGGGACCTTCTACTACATCTATTTAAAATAGTAGATTAGTTTCAGGTCATATATGCAAACCTCTTGTAACAGTTTACTATAAAAGTAGACATTCATACTTGCTAGGCATGAAAATAATATTTTCTATTGATTAAATACTGTAGTTATGCATAAACTATTAGGATAAAGTATGAGTTTCTGACACATTCAGTCACTTAAATAAACTAGGTAGAATGTTAACTACAGCCTTGGATTGCTAATTATTTTTTGGCTCTTAAAACTTTGTTCTCCAGTGGCACAATTTTGTCAGTATATATATGCAAAGAACATTAATGGTTATTTCAACTTGATACAAGGAATGAAAAAAATCCTTTGCCAACTTGCTCCTACCTTTTGAAGACAAGAATAAATCCCTTTCCATAATGTTAAAAAATGCCTAGCAAAGACCAACTGAACAAAAGATAAGGGCAATCTCTTTACTTTTATGAAGAGTAACCCTTGCCCCTAAATAATTCCCTGAAGTCAGTTTTGTGTCCCATGCAACAAGCATGCTATTCCATTAAAATAGAGAGTGCTCAACATACGACAGGCTCCAGCCATCCAGCAGAAATTTCGTATCATGTTGAACAGCAAAGTGCTATTTGTTGTACTTTGCCCAAGTCTGTGAGAAGTTGTTTTATACAATGCTTCAGTTGAGGAAGTCTTGCTAACGGTTCGGGTGGCTCCAGCTCCCCAGTATAATCCAACCAACTCTCTAAAACTGTAAAAGAGAAGATACATAACAATTACAAAGGCCTAAGGTACTGATGGCTAAATTTAAGTAGATCTGTATTAGCTATAAAGAATTTTAGTGGGATAGTGTAATCTTTCCTTTAAAGAAATCAATTTTTCAGGTGCTTTTTAATAAAATATATGAACTATCAAGCAATTCAAAATAGCAAGAAGTTCCTCCCTTAAAGGTTTGCTTCTTGATTTTCTAGCTATAACTAGGTAAACGAAGGCATATAGTTGAAAGAATACAGATGTGGTTTAACAGTTATTACTTATTTTGTTGTTTTTCATTTCAAGTATTTAGTGGCATATAGTTTTCAAGCTATACTTGGAACTACATCAATTTACTTTAACTGTATTTTCAGATATACCAAGCCTCTGTTTAGTAGAAATACCATAATCAATCAGTCTATCAATCAATCAGAGAAACCAACTGAGAAATCACAAGAAAAGTACTGCCAGTAAAGGATATGAAATCAAAGATATCCCATATTGTTAATAATAATAATAAGGTTGGAAGGGACCTTGGAGGTCATCCATCAAAAACTACTATAAAATCCAAGTCATGTCACTGCCACATATCTTTGGGATGCGTGTGAGACACTGTAGTGCTTTAAGACAGCAATCTTGAAATCAGGGAATTGAGAGAATGAAGCTATCTGGGTGGCTTTGGGCCAATTACTTTATTTCAGACCTAGTGATGGTATGACTGACGATAAAGCACATAAGCATCAGTTACAGGTAGTCCTCTATCTATGACCAGATTAGCTCAAAATTTCTGTTGTTAAATGAGGCAGTTGTTAAGTGCATTTTGCCCCATTTTATGGCCTTTCATGCAACAGTTAAGTGAATCCATGCAGTTGTTAAGTTTAATAACATGGCTGTTAAGTGAATCTGACTTCACCACTGACTTTCCTTGTCAGAAAGTCACACAGGGTGATCGTATGATCCCAGGACACTGCAACCGTCATACATATGAGTCAGTTGCCAAACGTCTGAATTTTGATCACATGACTATGGGGACACTGCAATGGGGGTACCTGTGAAAAATGGTCATGTCATTTTTTTCAGTGCTGTTGTAACTTTGAACAATCACTAAGTGAAAGGTTGTAAGTTGAGGACTACCTGTAATGATCACAGCAGTTCTACAATCTGTGAATAGTTCCTATTAAATTTAAGGCTTAAATTTTCTTTGAAGCACTACAAATTTAATTTACATCATAATAAAGCAAACAGCTGTATTTCAGAGAGGTTTAGTTGCTATTCAATGTAGGCAACTTTCTTCAATACCTATCATCAATTTTATTTGGCAGCTCATCATCAATGTGCCTTTTCTGCTGTAGCCCCCACTTCATGGAACATCCTCCCTCCCCCACACAGAGGCTGGCCTTCTCTGTTTTAGCTTTCTGGAGGTCCTTCAAGACATGTTTTTTAGCAAGCTTCAGAACTGGCAAAATAGTGGGATGCCTCCTGAGTAATTAACAACTCCTTTTTGCTTTATTTCCTTTTATTCTGGGTTGTTTTTTATATTAATATTAATTCACTTGATTGTTAGATGGCCAGCTATATAAATATGATGAATGTGAATGAGAATGCCTCTTTTAGTTACAAAAGCTAGAGAGCTATTTCAGTATGGAAAACTGCAGTTAAATTTAAGGGAATATTATATATGATAGAAGTCTACCTGGAATCAGCTCCGTTTTAAAAGATTTAACCTGATCCACTTTAGAGGACTTGTAGCAGCCTGCATACTAATAGTTTCTTCCAACCTATTGTAATATTTGAAAAGCATCCTGTGGTGACCAATGAGGAACTTTTTTAAAATTTTAAGCAATTTTGAATACATAAAAGACTAGATAATGAACTCTGGATAGATCACCAGAAAGACATAAGAGAAAACACTGGCCCTTTCAGGAAGATTCTAAACTCAGTTTGCCAACCAATATAATTATGAACCTATATTAAACAGATTTAATGTAAGAAATAGAACACAAGAAAAAAATAATTGAACAGACCTTACAAACTCTTAACATTTGTAGCAGAAAAAAGCCATTACCATCTAATTCCTTTTCAATTAAATCCATCCTGTGAGTAACTTCATCTTGCAGGGACTCAACGTGGGTTAAAAGGTTAAGCTGCCACTGCAGCTGGGAATTCATAATTCCATCTTTGTCTTTTTCAAGCAATTTTACTTCAGTATCTTCTTCTGATGTAATTTTTTCTCTTACCTAGAAAAATGCACATGTTAACATTTCTTATAAACAGTGAATAATTTTAAAGAAAAACTGTTCAAGAGATTATATATGAAGAGCTGTGGTGGCGCAGTGGTTAGAATGCAGTATTGCAGGCTAACTCTGCCCACAGCCAGGATCTTCCATCCTTCCAAGGTAGGTAAAATAAGGACCCAGATTGTTGGGGGCAATATGCTGACATTGTAAACTGCTCAGAGGGCTATAAAGCAATGTGAAGCGGTATATAAGTCTAAGTGATGTCGATATATATGCTTAATTCCTAATATTTTTGGTTCAAAAGATTAAATGATAATGCTTGCCTGTGAATGAAGTACAAATTAATAAATCTAATATATTATAGTTAAGTTATAAATATACACATACATGTACTATACATATGCAAACATAGTTATACTAGACATACTAGATGTATACTAGATGTATATCTAGTACTATACTAGATGTCTGCATCACAGACATTCTCTGAAAATCAGCAAGTTCCAAAGAATAGCTAGTTATAATGCCTTGGTAAGGCCACACTTGGAATACTGCATCCAGTTTTGGTCACCATGATGTAAAAGAGATGTTGAGCCTCTAGAAAGAGTACAGAGAAGAGCAACAAAGATGATTAGGGGACTGGGGGATAAAACATACAAGGAACGGTTGCTCACACACTCTCTCACACACTCTCTCTCTCACACTCTCTCTCTCCCTCTCTCCTTAGCTACATAAATCCAACTAAAGTAATCATCATCACAACAGCATAGGAATTCTAACTTTCCATCTGTAGTGTTAAACACTAGAAAGGGTCCAGTAAAACATACCTTAGAGTAGTTATGTTTTGATTCATTTTCCAACTTGCATATTTCTCTGTCCAGTTCCCATCCTAATCTCTCCACTACGGCATCATCTCCATTTTCTCTTATCCTATTAACACCATCATCAATGTCCGAATTTCTGGTTTCTACAACAAGTCTCTGTTCTATAGCAGGATAGTAAGCTCGAGGTTTTTGGTAACAATGCTCACTAGTGATATAAGATTCCTCTACAAAAGGAATGGTTGGAGGTTTCTCAACTGTTCCATTAAAAGTTCTATAACTTGTGGTCTCCTCTTTGCAACTGTTTTCTTCAATGTGAATGAGTCTAGTGGTATGAGATTTTTCTTCTATTTTGAGATGCTTCCAAGGCTGACACCAAAGTTTCAAGTCAGGATGTTCCTTGCTTCTGTTAAAAAGATACATGGAAGTTACACTGAAAACTTTTATTAGAATTCAGCTTATAACTTTTATCTTCTAAACTCATCTGAAATAGCTGGAAATGAGCCAACATGAACTTTCTATCAGATTTCAGAAAAGTCAGGATAGTATTAATGCTTGGCATGTGCATATTAGAAATGTCTTACTATTTATCAGCTTAAACTTAAACTTAACTTAACCAGAATAAGTAAAACAAGTAAAAACATCATCTGACATAAATGAGCCTATCTGAATTTAATGTCAACTCTTAACATAGTTCTTCAGTGATTCCATTGATACGTTCAATAAAAGCAGATTCTTAAAAATCATACAGTGAGTGTTTAGAACACTGTAAAATGGAAGACAAATCTTCATACTGGCTTCAAAGAAAAGATGTACAAGTTCAAGCATGACAACGTCAATAAAGGTTTAATTCACGGCCTCTTGTAAGGAGTTTCCGAGGGATATGTACCATTCTTCTTTTCGATGGGATACTTAAAGCTCTGTCATTGTCTAATAAAATTTGTAGGGAAGTTAGTAATCACTGAGGATGAAGTCAATAAAGTGTATTTATGTCGGTAAAAGTTTACAACGTTTGTTTCAAAGTAAGCACAGTGGTAAAGAGGAGGAGCAGATGGGGGGGAGTAGACATTTTAAAATGTAGGGAACTGTACTAGCTTGCTATTTCTTATCAGTATTACTCGATATAACAACAAATCATTATCCATCTAAAGTTTGGTTAATCAGAACTATTGCTGATTCTACTTATGGCCTGAAGCTAGTTTGTTCCAACTATTTGGGTTTGGGTACAGATGGTGTATTTTTCTACTGATATGCTAAATGAAAACAAAAGGTATTCAAGGTCAAGTTGGACCATAAGAGGGGAAGTGCTGTAAAAATGGTTTAATATTATCCTGAACCAACTTAATAAGCATACCAATATCTAAATGTTAGGATATACAATAGCTTTATGAAATTCGATTATATTTAATTCTTTGAATTGTATCACTATAATTTAAGCAAATACATCCAAATATAGCTTACTGCAAGATGCTCATCTTCAACTGAAGTCCATGTAGCACTTCTATCACTTTTTGTACATCGCCAAGAAGCTGGTGCGTAGCTACTATTTTCTTAGCATTTTGATGGGAATAGTTTTCTCCCAAAAATGCTAAACCATGCATGTGGCCTTTGCATAACCATTCCTTTTCATACCAATACTTCAAACTGGATCGCTTGCCTAAAGCAACAACGGGGAAGTAAATTAAAAATAATAAAAGCAAATAAATGCTCATTATTAGCCAAATTCTAATCTGCCACTATTTTCACTTTTAAAATAAACAGCAAAAATTTGGCATATTGATTTGGCTTGGAAATTCAACCTCCAAATCTGAAAAAACTTTCAATAATAATAAAAGCTACAACAAACTACATTTTAATAATAATCTTTTGAGTAAATTAGTTAAAAAAAAGTAAAATTATGAGTTTTAAATTTTAATTAAAAAAGCACAATAACATAAATGCTATTATTCCTTCTCTCCCAGACCATGATTCCTAATTCTGTCATTTCTAACTTAGAGAACTGAAGATACTTTTAATCAAGTTTCAGGCACAAACAGGAAAACATTAGGAATAATACACAAATCCTTTAAAATAGAGTTTCTTTTTATACTACTATATAGTGGTGTGTAAAAATTTGTGAAGACTTTTGAATTTTCAATATTTTTGCATAAATATTGATCTGTTCTTCATACAAGTCCAAAACTAGTTAAAGAGAATCTTACATCAATGAGTCAAAAAACTATATTGAATTATTGAAGAAAATGTATGGAGAACAGATCACATTTTAGATCACTTTTATGCAGAAATATTAAAAATTCAACAAGGATGAGCCCATAGTAGCAGTTTCCTCTTTGCCAGGACTGTAATAGGGGATTTGGCAGCTGTCTAAATTCAATTTTTACTAATTAAACAAGAAAATTCACTTTTTCAACTTAAAAGAAAAATATTAATGCTATGTAGACTCAAAATCAGTAAATTTCAAAAATTATTTAATATATTAGCAGTTTAGCATATTCACTATAATGGCTATTACAGTAAATTAAACAATTTGCTATCAAATATTTGAAAAATTAAGGTATGCTGACAAATAATCAAAAAGCAGTACAATAATACATAAAATAATATAATTATTACATACTATTAGAAGACTCTGCAACTTTAGAAATCTTTGTACCTGGAGGATCTTGACAAACATAACACGTATATTTCTCAGGTACATTTTCTTCTAATAAACCCATACAAACTCCATGCTGCCAACAGAGACATTCTTCACACTGTTAAATATTAGACAGAATTAGATTCAACAGATAAGCACAACTATCTGGCTGTTTCATAAGCTAAGCAAGAGATTTAGACTGTTTCAAACTCTTTCTATAACATTGGGGCAAGTCAAGGTATGGTCATTCTGGGTATATCTGCACCATATTCCATCCTATTGTTACCATCTCTGAAGCAAAACAAACAGGTACATTTAGGCTGTAGACAGTAAAGGGCTTGACTGCTTCTTCAACTTGGGAAAATCTGA